GGGTGTATTGGTCCACAAATATCACCATGAATATGTTCTAAAAACGATGGTGATTCATAACCGACCATTTCAATGGAAGGTTTTATAATGAGCTTTCCTTGTGAACTTGGTTCGCAGAAATATTCATTGGACATTAAGATCTTTGTATCTTTTAATGGATGTCCCTTAGTATGTGGTACAATCCTACGCATCATAGTCGTTCCTGGGTGACCCAGTCGATCATGCCATAACCCGTGTATATCGGGATTAAAAAATTTCCATGACATAGAGGCATATGATTCGAAAGCTCTAATTTGGAAACGATACATTCCAGAAGCTGTCACTTCGAGTTTTTCATGAACAATTATTTTGTCCATAACATATGATATGATGTAGAGACACTCCACGGTATTTTCAACCAGTGTCTCGAAATGATATCCATTACGTCTCACATTTGTAAAACTCAGTAGATTCTTATTTGATCTACCTGATATCAATGCATTTTCAATATGCAACGTGATACCATTAGACAACACAATTATTGCGTTCCCGGAGCCATCTATTATTTCCGCGGAACCTGCTAGCTATGGTTTTAACTTGTGCCTTGCACAATGTCACACTCGAGAAATATATCTTATTATTAAATATTGAGTGTGTAGTTGCACTATCGAGTAGACAATTTTCTCTTTTGTCGATGTTCTTCATGTTTGCCTGAATTAAATAACATAAAATTAAAATTGAATCAAAGTATAGTTGGCAAATGATATGATAACAAACTCATAATTTTATACATAATCAAAATATCAGCTCGACCTTGGGAACATAACTTCCAAGGGAGATATGTACATGGATACATCAAAAGACAAAATAGTTCAATCTTCGTTACTACATCAACCGAGAGAGATATATACAAAATATACTTAGTGAGTACAAAATAACCCAAAAGAGATGTTCATTTGGCAATTTATACAAGAGGATCAAGATCTGTAAAGAAATCCGATAACTCAAGAGAGGCTCTATCTTGAGCAGGATCATGATCAAGCATGCCCCCAGATGTGCTGGCTTCAAGAACAATAAGTGGCATTGTGCCTCAATGGTATGTGTCTAGACATTTTTTCCTTTATCTCTTTTTGAGTCCTGGTAAAGACTTACCAAGTGTTGGGCAGTTCTGCAAACTTTGACCCAGTGTCCATTCATTCCACATCCAATACACATATTTTCTGGAATTCTTTCCGCGGGCATCTTGCCTTTATCGCGTTTCGCTTGAAATGGTTGTCTCTGCCAGACCGTATTATTATTTCAACGGGGATATTCATATCCACCTCGGTCATTATTTCAGGCATCTGGAGGGGACCACGTCCACCGCCTCTGCGGGCACCACGCCCGAATCTACGCCCACGGCCTCTAAATCGTCCCATATTTCTATTTTGATTTGCATGTGCTTCATGCATAGCTTGGGACCCACATGGTCGCAAATCATGATATTTCAACAGCAATTGATTTGTTTTTTCCGTTGTGAGGAGTACAGAGATCAACTTCGAATATGTTTTAAACTGGCGCTGCCTATATTGCAATTGGAGCACCAAGTTCGAGGCATGCATAGTGGAGAAAGTTTTTTCCAATTTATCATATTCAGATATTCTAATTCTGCACAAGGCTAATCGGGACTCAAGTTTAAACAGCGCCGAATTATAGTCGGCAACAGATTTGAAGTCCTGCAGCATTAGGTGCTCCCTTAAACCTGTGGGAGAATCATAGTTTTTGTGTGATCAAACCTCTCCTTGTGTTTTTGCCATATAAACTGATGGCCTTTCCAATTGTATATATTCGTCTTTCAAATCCTCAGAAAGATGATGGCGGATAAAAATCATAGCATTTGGCTCATCTTTCATGTTTGCCTCCTTGATATCTACACAATCCAAGGCTTTCACAAGATCTAGCCCTTGAAGGTGTAATTTGATATCTAAGCACCAGAATAAGAAGTTACTGCCGGTAACATCAAGGATTTGAAATTTCTGTTTTCCGATTCCAGGCATCGTAAAAAAATTAAAATAAGTCAAAAATAGTACAACAAAAAGAAACTTAATTTTAGAAACATATAAGTTTGTATAGCAAAAGCTCGTGCTAATAACGTATTGTAGAATATATAATATTACACAAGGTATATATATATAGAGAGAGAGAGAGAGAGTAAATTGCCAGGCTTTATGATTTACAAGAACATATAGTTCTCGGACAATACACATAAACGTGCCTATTAGAATCGAGAGCCATTATTGCTATTAAAAGATGTAAAATAAAATTAAAGAGTGATAAACTATTGAAACTCAAAGTTTTTGTAAGAAGAAAAATTATTTGATGAAAGAAGAATTAATTCTTCATCTCATAAGATTACACTTATTGTATACACTCATTTATACAAGTAGTCACTCATTCATATAGGACACGAAGCAAATGAATTGAGTAGTCATCACTTCAAATTCATACATCTATTAACACAATAATTTGCATTGCATGCACTTGAAGGTCACGGTGAAGGGCTCTTGTAGCATGCATGTGTATAGAATTGATTCTATTGGTTGAGTCCACATGTCACAACATTGACAAAATTATACGAAACAAAACAATTCATTACGCAAAAAATATACGGAAGTTTCTAAGAACAAATGTTACAATTTTCGCAAAAAAAAAAATAAAAATAAAAAACAATGTCAATAATAATTATACTAGAAATTTAAACCATCCAATCCACGGACCTCGTTCACCCTCTTCTTCTTTTATATCTCCGTCGTCCGGAGCCTTCGCCTGCCGAGATACCTCTATATCTGGTGCCTCGTATTCTAGTTGTCTTTCTGCATAATACATTAAACAGTCTTTAGTTAGTATTTTATGATAGAAAAAATAAATATTGCCAATAATATGATATAATAATTTATTATTGTGACTATTTTAGTCAAACAAAGTATTTACGTAAATTGCTTTTGAAAATGTAACAAAGACTACCTAGTAATAGTAATATATATAGAAAAAGAATATGATCGTAAATAGAGGGTATATAAAATATATAGACACACACACACACACACAAGGATAACTGCACAAATATTTTTCAAACATATATAGTCTTGTAAAAACTGCTATATATAGATTTGTAAAATCTAACCCATGTTCTATACTTCAGTAACGAGATCATTTCAAAATCCAATTTGTTCAAAAGAAAACTAAAATATTTCGAAATAAAAAATTTAAATGTGATTGAAATATTAAATATTTTAATAGAATGATAATTGCGCAAACAAATATAGTTCAGTAATAAACTATATATAGGGCTGGCTCTAGAAGGATTTGGGCGTTGCTCATATTTTACGAGAGATGCTTACTTATAAATCTGATCATATGAGAGCGCCCCAAGAAGTACGTACTTGGTACTACGATCATTGGAGGAACAATACCTGATCCCGAGGATGCTCCAGAATTGTTTCGATGCTCGTTCGAGAACTACGATCTTTAGCTTTGGCACGCTCATCCATAATGGTATATAGGGCCGGGTTCTTAATAATGAAGAAGTGCAATAACAAAACCATATTTGATAGAACATATAGGAAACTCATGATCCAAAGAGTGATATATATCTATATATATATTCAAAAGCACATCAAAACCATGTATATAGAACATGAAAATATTTTCATAAATGTTTTAATAAAATCCAACAAATAACATATATACTGTTAAATTTCATACAAAAAAAATAGTTAAATCAGGCAAATTATATTAGTTCAAAATAGGGTAAACTTCAATTTACTTACCTGAACTATACCCAAGGTATAAAATACCCCCCTGAACTTCAAAATGAACCAAAACAACCCCTCCGTTAAATATCCATCCACAATTGCTGATGTGGCGTTTTGACTTTTTTGAATTATTACTTTTATTCCAGTTGTTTTATTGTTTTGACAAATTTACCCTCTGCTATATTTGTTCACAAGTAAATTGTAAAAGATAATAAAGGCCAAATTGCAATTTATGTTAAATTTCGGAATAAATCAAGGACTTAATTGCAATTTTCTAAAAACAATCCAGAACTACCTCCGTCACCTCTATACCCCTTCCTCCCTAGTTGGAAAAAAAAAAAAGAAATTCCTCAGTTCATTGTCCGGCCACCAAAATGCACGACGTCCCAATCATCAATTTCAAATCTATTTCGAGAAATTTTAAACTCAAACAAAATTGATTTTCACAGAGGAAATCGAAGAAGAGGAAACTCCGTCGTGTGCAGCCCGATGATGAAGCTGATCGGAAGAAACTCCGCCGTGTCGTCGCCGCGTCGCCGCCGCCTCTTTATTGCTTAGCCGCCACCGCCGTCTCTTTCTTGCTTAGCCGCCACCGCCGTCTCCGCCATCGTCTTCGCCGCCCCATTTCACAGTCCAGGTCGCCGTCGTCTCTTTCCACGGCCTATGTCACTTGCGGTTATTGTACAGACTTTTGAAGCAAAATTCGAGATTTAATTCGAGTGGTGGAGTGGCAGACCGAGAAGAATTGATTTGGTGGATTGTGTGGGTAGAATAGAAGGTTATCACTATGAGATTCTTGGTTACTTCTTGGATGGATTATGAAGTTGTTAGCCAATTGAAGAAAAAAAAAAACTGGGATTCCTAATTTGAAGAAGAAGATTGAAGGTTTTGAGATTTTTAATTTGAGGATGAAATTTCTGGGTTTGTGTTACAAAATTTCAGCAGGAAAAGAAAAGAAAGAAACGGAAGGAGAAGAAGAAAGAAGCGGAAGAAGAAGAAAGAAACAGAAGAAGAAAAGATTGGAGGGCAAAAATGTAAAAGCACTTAAAAACTAACGGTGTTACTTTTTTAACGGTTTTAAACGTTGACCCAAAATCTGCAAGGGCTGTTTTGATTCATTTTGAAGTTTAGGGGGATATTTTATACCTTGGGTATAGTTCAGGTAGGTAAATTGAAGTTTACCCTTCAAAATATATATATATAATAGAGAGATTGTGAATGAATTAATTACCTCGAATCAGTGCAATAAACCCTAACATAACTGCCTTGTTGAATGTTCAACGTCTCCCTCATGGAAATGATGTTGGGTACATGAGAAACCACTTGCACCGCCATCCTATGCCCATCCTCATCGCGTATGTCCTCTGTAATAGGGAATACGCTCTCGCTCCCCGTCACTACATCGTACATAAGGAAATTAGTCCGCCAGTCATGCATCAGTATCTTATTATTTTCCACATACATTATCGGTCGATATGCTCCCCTCGACCAAACCCTCCCACTATTCTCGAGCATCGTGGTCAGAGTCTCGATATGGTAGAGTTTCTTCCAATTAGTTGTTTGTCCTGTACCGTGGGCCCCACCGTTGTGATCAACCACCGTCTTACTAGCCGACCACAACTCCACGTGGCTATCATCGGGAGAAACGAACGACACGCAGAGAGTATTGTCCAACACTCCCAAACTAACCGTTTTGAGAACCGGACCCTCGAATTCGGGTAGGTCCACGACCCGGAAGAGGGTTAGGTCGAAATCGAAGGCGCAGATCGAGGGCTCGTTTTTGTACCGCCAGTACATGGTGCCGTCGTCCACGTACATGAGATCGTAAATCATTCTCGAGAAATCGAGCTGCGGTGCCACACCGGCGCGCTTCCAAGACCTGGCACCCAGGGCGAGAAGCTCTGGGTACCAGGTCATGGAGAAGTCGTTCTGGTCGGCCAACCCGATCGTCATTTTCAAGAGCTCGAAAGTGTTGGTGCGGCGGCTGAACCCGAGGCCTACGAAAATCGAAGCCACCTCTCGGTAGCTTTTCCTCCCACGCGCGATGGTGTTGGCCAAGATGTACTCGCCCGTGATAGGGTTGGAGATGACCACGTCACCTCCACCGTGGCGAGTGGCCCAACAAGTCAAACCCTTACAGGAGGTAAGCAGAGGATTGACGCCCTGAAGGAAAGTGCGGCGGCCACGGGCCATATCCGGAAACTCGATCCGGGTGCTGAGGTTCCGGGTCCGGGGTTCGAAATCGGATGCGGTCCGGCCCTCGTAGAGGTGGAGGACCCGATTCGATTTGCTGCCCAACGGGTTGCTGAAAACCACCAAAGGGCGGGCCGATGAGAGAGAGTGGTGTCTCTTGAAGAATCTTTTGTTGTCTAAGATTGACAGCCATGGTGTGTTGACGGCCATGCAGCAGAACACGGTTTTTGCGGGGACATGTGTCAGGATCTCCTCTAGAATGTGGTATGGAATGGAATCCAGTTCCGTTGGTTCCTCCGGCGACGGCGGCGCCGCCACTTGTTGCTGGTCGTCTTCCTCCATCGGATCTGCTCCGGCGGCGGCGCCATTTATGCTGGTTCGGAATTCAAGAGTTTTCATGAAGGTGTGTTTTGTTTGCCGGAAAGTAGAGCGGTTACAGTGAGGATGGAGATCAAAAAGCTACGGCGAGAGAGAAAAGAAAAATGCTGATATGTGTTTTGGTTTGTCTGAATAATAGTAAAATGAAAACCCTATACAGAGAGAATGTTTGTAATAATGAGGCAAAAATCTCCCAAATATGAGGTGGTCAATTAATTTTCCTGGTTGCCCTTTTTGGTATTTGTACACGTGGCACCTTCAAGTAGTGAAAATAATTTGACTTTGGATGAGTAGACATTTTCTTTTCACAAAACAATTTATGTTTGCTTTTTGACTAAATTATTATAATATATATTTTAGAAAGAAAGTTAATATGAAGAAAAAGGCCTACGATAATTGGTTACCTCGTCATTTCTGACAAATCCGCATTAATTGTTAATTGCCATCTTTTAGATTTTCTAAATCAAATGACTATAAAGTCTATAATCCTAGATTTAAAATTTAGAAAATGTCATTAAAATCTTTTTTCCATATTATTGCAATTAAATGAAATACAAAAATACTAGTTAAACTCGCGAGATACCGCGATATATGTCGCGAGACCGTACGTTCCCAAGCAAAACGGTACAACTCATAATATGTATCGGTTATGCATAAATACCGTTAAATATCGCGAGATATCGTATCGTATCGCCATATCACGATACGATACGATATTTACGATATTAATCATAATATTAAAAAAAAAATTAAAAAAAATTAAAAAAATTAAAAAATAAAAGAAAAAAGAAGCAAACGAAATATTCACATTATCAGGACCTAAAAACGAATTTCAATATTATAGAGGAAAACGATACGTCGATATTTTCCGATTCGATAACCATTATATAAAACACTTAATTTTGCATACCTAATCATGAGAGCTAGTATTAATGTATCTAGGGGTGGAAATCTGATGAAAAATATCGGAAAGGGTTTTTTTCAAAAAAATTCCAATTTATTTCGGGTGTAAAAAATGGTCCGTTCCAAACAAATCAGAATGCAAAAATTCATTCCGATTTCGAAATATTTTGAAATCGGCAGAATTTCGAAAATTACATTAGTTTAAAATTTCTTGTTTCAAATTCGAATATAATGAAATTTTCACGATATTTTTCTATCTTTTTTCGAAATTTTGCAGGAAAATACAAGAAAATCCAAAACAAAGATCGACATATCGCAGAAGGTAAAACTGATATGCTAAATCACACACTAATTTTACCAAATCATACACACAATTGAATATTTTTCTCTCTCTAAAATCTCATCTTCTCCTTCCCCATCCTTCTTCTTTTTCCCTAACTTTTTTCACAAAATCACACACTAAAAACGTCCATATCATTCCAAGTTTGAATTTGAGAAAAATCTTCATGTGTTCAAACTAAAATAAAGTTGGAATTTGAGAAAAAAATTCGAATTGATATGAATTTAAATAATTAAAAAGGCATAATGAAATTGAAAAATATTAAATAAACCTAAACTCACTTTTTATGATTATTCACGTGAAAGATTAACGAATTTTGAGTGACTTGGAAAAAATCATCATAGAAAAAAGTTAGAGAGAATATAAGTAGAGAGAGATTTTTTTTTTAATTTATGTGTGGGATTTAGTAAATTTTAGTGTGGGATTTAGCATGCCCCAAGGTAAAAACACTAGGAACAACAAATTTGAAACATAGATTTTCTTATAAGAAAAATGCAACATAAATTTTCTGATACCAATTAATCTTTTCTAAGGTTTTAATTTACTTGATCCTTCGATATTTATATTTTTCATATAAAATATAACATAAGTTATATTATGGTATTACAAAGTATACCATAAAATTATATTATATATTTCGAAAAATCATAGAAATATTCGGACCTAAAATCAGACAAAAAATAGGAATTTCTGGTAATTTTTATATACCGTTCCGATTCCGTTCTAAATAAATTCGAAAAATCGGAAATCGAAATTTCAGAAATCAGAATGTAAAATACATTTCTAAATTTATATATATTCTTATTGAAATTGGCGGAATTCGAGAATTTCATTTCGATGTCTAGCCCTAAATGTACACCGGGCTAATATACAGCACATAATAAACCCTATTTGATCGAGATATAAAAATTATGAAAAGGACAGTTTTGTTGAATATTTGTGTCGATCTCTTTTTATGTATGAAGAACATTCTATTTTATTTAAATAATATTTTTATAAACTCCTTTAATTTTACTCTCATTTCTAACTCCATCTTATAAACTCAATGATTATTTTTTCATCCATACGCTCTTAGCAATTTACGTTGAAAGTAAAACCTATTAATCAGTGGCGAGTCCAGGAATTTGGTAAAGGGGGGGCTTCAATTTTCGGGGGTTCGGGGGCAGCGGTCCCGATATTTTTTTTTAGGATTTTTTTGAAAATAGGAAAAGGAGAAATGAAAAAAAAAGAAAGAAAAAAACAAATTTTAGAGTTTTTTTTTGTATTAATTTGGATTTTGGGTGAGCTAATTAATAAAATTTGAGATTTTTTTGTATTAATTTGAATTTTGAGTAGGCTAATTAATAAAATATGGGGCTTCTTTTGTAGTAATTGAAATTTTAGGTGGGCTAGTTAATAAAATTTGGGTGGACTAAATAGAAATATAGTATAATATATGGGCAAATTAAAAAATGAGGGTGGGCTTGAGTTCACCCTTGCCCAAGGGTGGACTCGCCCTTGCCTATCATATTTAATTTTGGACTCCATATTAAAAACATCTTATAAGTTATACAAATTTGTAAAATCTTTTGTAAAGTCTACCTAAACGCACAACGTTACTCAACCAAGTCTTTTCATTAGTCCCGCAAGGGATGGCCTAACGGTTGGAACAATTGAATTTGAGTCAATTAACTCAAGTTCGAATCTCCTTCTCAACGGTCACCAGATCAAATTTGTCACATATGATTAGCCTAGTGTGGTTTACGACTCTAATATGATTTGTATGATTTGCAATTTATTATACGAGAATGTAGATTTACCCAATGCACGCGCGCGCGCGCGCGCGCACACACACACACACACATATATATATATATATATATATATATATATATATATATATATATATATATATATATATATATATATATATATATATATATATATATATATATGTGCGCGCGCGCGCGCGCGCGCGCGCGCGCGCGCGCGCGC